AGATGCTCTCAGTGACCCACACAATACCCAAGGAACTCACATCTTCCAAAGCCTGTTGTGAAAACATGGCTCATCTCAGACTCCCACCCAGCAGAGACACGTAGAGGCTTGGCAGGTGCTTGAATAGGTCAGAGCAATATTCTGAGTCTCTGTGAAGTCTCAAAGGTCATTCCTTTCAGGCACTGTCCTGTCTCGTTCCTCTCAAATGTTACTGGTGTCACACCAGGGACCACGACAGCTCCTTTCTCCTACAACAACATGGTGTTAATCCTTTCCAGTTTGGGGTGCAGAGCCCTCTTTCTAAAGCCCTGACAAGCTGATCTGGGTCTCTTGTTCTCAATCACTGATGAGTGTGAGGTGATCTGAAGAGGAAGATGGTGGTGCTGCTAAAAACTGCTTCATTTTCCATCTTTTTTATATTTGGAGCAAGAGGCAAGGAAGAATCTGTAGAGCAGCAGAAACCCCTGGATGTGATTGACTTCAGAACGTTCCCTGTAGCATGGATGTGTCAGAGATAATACCTGTGTTTTAGCTCCACAAATTATATGTCTTTTAATGCTTTCACATCAAACAGGGTGCGTGAGGGAGGCAGTAATTGAGACTGTGTCGTCTCCAGGAGTCACTGGAGCGTGGGTGCTGCTGCTCCTGCTGCCACCCCGGGGCACTGGGACCCCTCAGTGCCCACACCCTGCATTGCTCCACTGGGGTTAAAGTCACATATGGACAGCTCAGGACACCATTGGGGATTGATTGGCACACCCAGGGCTGGCCTTTGCTCTGTAGGGGAGCAGGGGTTGAGCAGGGTGCTGGTGCTGCTGGTGGGTGGCACATGTTAGTGGCTGTGCCTCCCAAATCTGGCTTTATTAGTGATGCTACTGATGAATGGTGACATTTAGCTCACTGATTTACTAGTAGAATTCAGAGGATCTGCTCATGCTGCAGAGACTAATTTCCCCTGCTGATTTGATCTAATTTAATTGGATGCTGAAATCTTGGCGCTCATCTCTTCAGGAGGCCTGTGTTCACAGGGAGAAACACCCCAAATTATCAGGAACACAATTTCCATGCAATTGTGCTGCTGTCATGGCCATGACTTCCTCGTTCTGTATCAGCTGTGCTGTGGCTGATGCTGCCCCCAGTTGCCACCACACAGCCAGGCTGCTGGGCAGGGAGAGCCCAGGGGTGACCCACTCGGGCTGTCTCAGTTACAGGGTGGTGTTTGGCTCATAGCCAGTGGCACACAATGGCTGGGAGAGGTGTACAAGAGGCTCCTTGTACCCACAGCTTGCTTTGTTCCTTGATAAACCTTGGAAAGTCACCCACTCGTGTTCAAGTGTTCCAGGCTCGGTCACTGCTCTTTGGAGGCTCTCCCAAAGTTCTGGGTCTGGCTCGGGTCTAACCCCCTTTGGGGCTGGTCTGGCTGAGTGTGTCACACACGGGTCCATTGGGATGCTCTGGAGCTGCCCTCGAGCAGGGATGGGCTCTGGACAGGGCAAACCCGTGGTCTGAGTGCTCCTCCTTGAGCTCCCCACACAAATTTCTGCTTTCTTGCACCCCAACCCTGCTCCTCTCTCAGGAGCCATCAGGGCTGGGGCACTGCTGTGCCGGGGGGCTTTGCCAGTGTGGGGTGGGAGCTGGGGCTGCCCCACGCCTTGGCACACACCGATGCGATCTCTCAGAAGTGACGCGGTGGCTGCTGGCGTGTCACACCCGTCTCACACCGTTTCTGGGGAGATAAGCTCGCTGTGCTCTGTCTCTCATTGCCTGCATGCAAGAGCTGCCTCTGTGCTTTCCTGGGATTTCCTTCATGTCTTTCTAACTGAAGCCATAAAATAAATTTCTAATCAGATTACTTGGGGCTAGATGAAATGTAATCTAAAGCTCTATTTCTTGTGATACTTCTCTAAAAGTGGATGCCCTCTTATCCTCCTCCTGCAGCACTGATTGAAGCACTGTAATCGCTTTCTCCCTCGTTTGCAAGCTCCCAAATCCGTTTCTACCGTGCCGGGGAAATCGGGATGTGGCTGCTCCTTTGCAGGGACACAGTTACTATTTTTGGGTTTTGTTGCATTGTCTGGTTTCTTTCCTCTCCGGCTCCCAGTGCTCGGTGCTGGTGCAGCTGCCCCATCTCAGCTGTCCCACCTGGGCAGTGCAGGTGCCTGTGCTCAGGTGAGGGGCAGTGCCCAGAGGGGGGCTCTGGGTGAGTGCCTGGGCAGTGGCCAAGGGTCCCAAGGTGGTGGGGCAGGGCCAGAGCAGATTTCTGGGTTCCCAGGGCAGATCCCCGTGCAGGTTTCTGGGTTCCCCGGGCAGGTTTCTGGGTTCCCCGGGCAGGTTTCTGGGTTCCCCGGGCAGATCCTCGTGCAGGTTTCTGGGTTCCCCGGGCAGGTTTCTGGGCTCCCGGGCGGCTCAGGCTCGGTGCTGCGGGATGGGCTGGCCTCGCCTCCAGCCCGGCTGTGGCAAATGCCTGGCATAGCTCGTGTATTTCTGGCACTGTCCCTCGTCAGAGAGGGAACCAGAAATATCTCGTGCCCAGGAAGGCACAGGGGGTGGCAGGGACGGATCCTGCGCTGTCTGAGGAGGCTCTGAGCCTCCAGAGCTGAGCTCAGGTGTGACTGCAGCTCAGGTGAGAGCACGGGGCTGGGCCCTGTGCAGGTGGCTGGGGAAGATTGATGGGCTGCTCACCTATGGAGATTTCATCTCAGAGCAGCATCTATACAAAAGCCAAAGTTATTATATAAATGAATGGCCTCATAATAATAATATTAATCTTAACAGTGTCATTTATTCGTGGCAGATTCAGCACTCCTAGGGCTAAAGGCTCAATTTTGTCCTGCTCTGGTGTTTTCAGATCCTTCTCTCTCAGCAGTGTCCAGGCAGCTGCCAGGTGATGTATTAATTGTGTAATTGTGTAATTGTCCTGACCTGTCCTGTGCTCCCTCCAGCCCCTCAGGCTCCCTAGTTCGCTGCCAAGCTGTTTTCTCTGATGCAAAAATGTCAGGGCATTTTTCAAGAGATTTGCATTTCTTCATAAAACAGGGACAACTGCTTACCCTGGAGGTAATTTAGTGACTGAAGGGGTGGTGTTTTACAGGAAGCATGGAAACTTGGAGGCTCTTGAACTGCAGCATTCTGTTTTGGAGATGTCCTTTGGGACATTTGGAGAGGTTCTGGGGGTGCTGGCCCTCTTGCCAGCATTCAGGAGGGTGATGGATGCTTTGGTGGCATCACTGCGGGAACGGGAGGTTGGGCGAGGCAGGGGAAGACGGGCAGGGTGGGAGCTTCCAGGTGCACCAGCCCTGCCACCTTGTGCCCCGTCCTGGGCATCCCTGCCATCCTGCCCTGCTCCATCCTGGAGCAGCTACCGAATGCAGAACCCGAGAAATGCAGGGCAGGTTCTGCAGGGTCTGTCACAGCCGGGGGTGATGTCCTGTTCCTTTTCCCTGTGTGAGCACCCAGACCACCTCAGCCCCTCGCCATCTATTATCTTGCCTCAGCCTAGAAATTACAAATCAGCTCAGTGAGTCCAGATGCAATTACTTCCATTGAGGGCTAGGCTGTGTTTGGATGGAGAGGGAACCTGGCTGAGTTTCTGCTCAAAGCGTTTGTCTGTTTCCAAATAGGAGAGAATTGAACATCTTTAAAAATCAATACAAAGCCACTTCAGCATAAACCAAGAGGAGATTAATACTTAACTTGCCTGGAAAAGGGGAGGGGAGATGTGGAAAATGTCTCTGGAGAGAGAGACTCAATGAAATTTGAATCTGCCTGTTTAATGTGAGAACGAAATATTTCAAATTAACCCCCCCTCCCCCTCCATTAACTGGAAACTAATGAGGTGCTGGAGAATTGGTGTAATTTGGCACAGTAATAGGATCTATTTTTTTTTCTTTTCTATGCTTGAGAAATTTATCAGACTGATAGCTTCAGCTTGAAGGAAAGCAGACAGATATTTTCTGCAGGAAGAGATCTGTTGATCCACCAAAAACTTTATTGAAAGGTTTGGCAGTGCAGGTAGCACTCAGGTTTAGCAGGATCCATTCCTCTTACCCACTTAGGTTCTCTCACCACTATGCAGAGTTTGGCATCATCTGATGTTGTTCTGAGGAGACAGAAATGCATTTCGGATTTTTTGGAGAATGAGTTGGAGTTTTTCCCGTGTGGAAATGGGTACCTCAACATTTGTCTGCTGGAGGTGCTACTGCCTCTGTCTCCCCAGGGGCCTTGAGATGTGGTGAAATACAAAAAATACTGATCTTGGCTTTGAGTCTTGACTCTCTGGAGTGCTCCAAGTGCACGGTGTAGGTCAGATGGGTGCTGTGGTGACGCTGAAATGCTGTCTGGTTCATCTGGGGTGAATTCATGTGGTGTGTTGACAAAAATAACATCACGCCTGTTTTTATCTGATTTACAGAAAGAGATTACGGTGATGATAGGGATTTTGTTGTTGCATTTAAAGAATCCGTCTGATTAGAGATTCTGCTGAAACATTTGGTAGAGAAGGCCAGAACGGAGGTTATCAGTTGAGTTGAGTTGATCTCCAGCAGGGTGGCAGGCAGGACGGGGCAGCAGCAGCAGTGGCTGTTCCCTGCCAGATGTGTTCTGTGGCCTCTGCAAGCTGTTTTTCCTGAGCAAACACATTTATTACAGACTTTGCCAGGGGAGCCCCATGCATTGTTAATGATTGACTGCCCCAGCCGGGGGTTTCCAGGCAGCTCCTGCTCCGTGCTGGGCTCTTGCTCTGTGGGTGGGGAGCAGGGGGACTTTCTCACCATTTCCCCCGGAGTTGCTCAGGTCCTGCTTCAATGGATGGTGGATGTGGTTGTCTGCAGCCTGTGTGTGCCCCACAACAGATTCCTGCTTGTGGCAGGAACAAACCCGAGCCCTGACCTGGCTGTGACACTGGGAGCAGCTCCCCAGGGGCCGTGCCCTGTGTGCCACTGCCAGAGAGGTTCTGCCCTCCCTGCTCCGAGGCCAGGCTGGTTAAACCCACCCAGGGCAGTGGGCTGGACCAGGTGCAGGAGGCTCGTTCCGACTGTTCCTAATGGCTGCAGGGATAAGGAGAAGCAGTAGGCTTTGGGCAGGTGCCAGTACCCTGTGCTGGGTGGATGTTCTCATGTATGATCTCACACCTGCTGGCACAGGGATGGGGCTTTCATCTCTCGGACTAGGAAGTTGCTCAAAGTGTTGTAGCTTGTCCTGTGTCGAGTTCCTGTGAAAATTAAACTGGCATAGAAGAAAGGTGAGATAAGGGGGGCAGAGGGACCTGGGTGTTTTATCACCAAGGCAACAAGGACTTCCAGGGAAAGGTGCTGAGGTGAGAAGTAGATAATTTACAGTTTACTTAATAAAAAAAAAGACTTCATTTCCTGAGGGAGCTGTGTGTCAGCTCCCGGTGTGAGGGCCAGGCTCGAGGCCCCGTGCTGTCCCGCTGCTGCAGCCTGGGCTGGGGGGGAAGGGATGCTCGCCCTGGCGGAGGGATGGCAGAGCCAGGCTGGCACCAGCCGGGGGTTCCTGCGGGGCTGGCTGCGGTGAGGAGCCCGTTTGGGGGGCAGGAGCGAGTCCTCCCCGGCGGGGGTTGGAGGGGCTGTGCTGGCACTTCTCGCCGTGAGGAGCCCGGGCTGTGGCGGCCGGGGAAGTCTCGGTACCGGGGGTGCCCCGGAGGCTGCGCCGCGCACGGTCGGTGCCCGTGACGCGCTCAGAGCCCCGCCCGCCCGCAGAGCCGGCCCGGGGGTGTCCGGGGGGCTGCGGACACACCCCCGGCCTGAGGGGAGGGGGGCAGAGCTGCGGCCATTCCGCCCCGCTCCCGTTATTACCGGCCCCGCTCCCGTTATTACCGGCCCCGCTCCCGTTACCGGCCCCGCGCTCGTTACCGGCGGCGCGGGGCGCGCGCGGGGCGGCGCGCGGCAGCAGCGAGGATGTCCCGGGCGGGCGGCAGGACGCGGTCCCGGCGCGCGGGGGTGCGGGCGGCCGTGGTGCTGATCGGGCTCCTGCACCGCTCCCGGCAGAGCAGCGAGAGAAGGTGACGCCGCGGGCAGCGCTCGGTACCGCCGGCCGGGCAGAGCCCGGGGGCTGCGGGGGGACGCGGGAGCGGCGGATGGAATTACCGGGGAGGGGGTGGCGGGAGCTGGGGAACAGCACCGGGATAACCGTGACCCGCTGGCGGTGTGCGCTGTGTGCCGGAGCCGTGCCGGGGACCGGGCAGCCGGTACCGGCAGTGCCGTGACCCGCTCGCGGTGTGTGCTGGCAGCGGTGCCGGAGCCGGGCACCGGCATTACCGGGGTTACCGGGACCGCTCGGTGCTGGGTGTGCCAGGTGAGCCCCGGCCCCGCCGGCAGCAGCCGCGCCATCCTCAGGGCCCCTCGGGCTCCCGTGCCGGCGGATCTGCCGGGACTCGGCTCCGCAGCTTTGCCTGCGCCGGGAACAGCTGACAAATGGTTTCATCTTTCACTGCCGAAACCGCGGGCTGTACTTGGTGTCCAACTTTGTGCCGTAGGAAGCGGCCTGCTCGCAGGGCTGTGCGAGCTGGCATCTGCTCCGCGGGCGCCGCTCCCCCCGCTCCGCTCGGGAGCCGCTGCGGCCTCGGAGATTGACCCCGCGCTGATCTCTGCGGGCTGCCCGGGCACGGAGGTTTCTCCTCCAGGACTCTGCTGCTCTGGCAACTTCGCTGTTAAAAATAGTCAGAAATATGCACCCGAACCTCGCAGTGTGTGCACCTCTGGTTCGGGGTGGAAGCAATATGGGCACTGCTGCAGGCTGAGGGGGTTTTTTGTTTCTTTTTTTTCTTGGTTCAGTTTGTGATTTTGTACCAAACTCGAATGAAGAATTGATTATTTGGAATCGTTATTGTAAAATATTCTCCCACTCCCTAATCTATAAGCATGAAAAATTAGAGTGAGGTGACAGGAGATGAAGCTTTTTGTCTGCCATCAGTTGTGGATTGCAGGGTTTGCACCCCATTTTCCAGTGCTGCTGGCATAGGGACTTTGCCTTGGGCAGCTGGTGCCATGGAGAGCAGGATTTCAGCGATGCTCTAAAGACTGAACATTGGCGTTCCTGGGGAGTTCCTGTGTCACTGGTTTGGGACATTTTCCTCTCCCTTGCTGGGGTATTAGGTAGATCATCAAAGCAGAACAGTTGGAAAAAACCAACCTGCAGGTCCTGGGTGAGCAGCAGTAATGGCTGGGGGGTGAGCTGAAGTCTCTGCTCCTTTCACGTGTGGCACAGAACCCCCCGTGTCTGGGGACTGTCCCGGTGCAGAGTGACGCTGGATCCTCTGGATGTTGTGCCCACCTTGGCCAATCCTGCCTTTGCCTCAAGGGCAGGGTGTGCTTTACTAGTCACACCGAGCAAGACTTTGCCAAAGAGTTGTCCTTCCCCCAGGTCCCAGGTTTCTATGAATGAGCTCAGCATGACACTGGAGTGCTTAGAAAAAAACCTGGCTCTGAACTTGCACAGGAATCTGCCCCATGATGTGTGAATCTGGTTTTCCTTTTTGTTTTTTCCCCAGCATCATGTTGTGCACAAAACGTCTCAGTGTGCCTCTTGCTGTGGGGTTTACTGAGTACAAGAATCACACAGACATCTCAAGGGGAGAACAAGACCCTGAGGAGATTTTTTTTCTGTCTGCCGTGGACTGAGGAGCCTCCATGGGAGTGATTGCAAGAATTCGAGCAGTGCTTTACGGTGGTTGTTTCATCTTATGCAAGCTGCCAGGGCCATCAAAGTGACATAATCTGCAGGAAAAGGAAGGGACTGCTAGCGGCATCGTCAAAAGGGACTCTGTTCCTCCACCTGCTCCTATTTGCTTTTTTCCCTCCTACATTCAGTCTTTGTTCTGCATTTGCAATTGAATTTTGCTTTCCATGAGCCATATGCAAGCCTGGCAGGATCAGAGGCAGCTGCGGAGTCTGTGGTGGCCCAGGTCCCTTCCTTGTTAGCAACCCAGCAAAGTGCAGCACAACGCACCGGGCTCCCCTGGCGGAGCTGGGTGATGCTCACCTGCCCCTCCACCTGCACTCTTCTCACCTGTGCCTCCCCTGCACACCTGAGCTGGAGGGGAGGAGTGGGGAAGTCTGAGGGGGGCGGCTGCAGCTGGGGGAATCCTCCCTGTTCCTGTTTTGCTCCGAAAGCCCGGGATTTGGAACTGTATTCCTATCTAAATGAATTTCTCCGACTGTCCCACAGGCAGGTGAGGTGATGCTCAGGTGGCTGTGCCCTCCCAGGGCAGAGCTGGGGGTGGGTGCCTGGTGTGGGGCACTTCTCCACTCGCAGGCTCCCTTTGCCCTTTGGCACCAGTCCCACGGCGTTTGGAGACACTGCTTTCTGGGAGCTGCTCTCTGCAATTTGCAAATTATTGAATCAGCTCAGAAACGGCTGCCCGAGGCTCCTGGCTCGGGTTTGGCAGGAATAGGATCAGACGAGCCTTCTGGTCTGAAAATGTCTGCAAGTGCCTTGGCTGATTTACCCAGATCTGCAGGAAATTGCCACTTTCTGTGTTCCAGCAAGGGAGAGTAGGCAGCACATTTTGTGAAACATTTTAACTTTTTTCACCATTACATGCACATGGAGCCTCACCGGCCTGGCCTGGTCCGGCCCGGTGGGAAGCCCTTGGCCAGTGGGGAGGATTCCAGGGGCTGTAGAGGTGCAGGCAAAGCCGGAGTCAGCTCCTGGCTGGCCCCCTCCCCGGCAGGGTGGTGCAGCAGGGACCCCATGGCCAGTGCAGGCAGCAGGGATCCTGCTCCATGTGGGACGCTCTGAACTGTTCAACAATGTTTTATTTGCTGTTCTGAGGGGCAATTAAAGCCAAGCCCAGTGGCAGTTAAATGTCACCTTTCTCTGAGCAGGGCTGCGGTCCTGCTCCAAGGACAGTGTGTGTGCAGGTGCAGGCTGGCAGTTTGCAAATACAGAATTTATTGCAAGAAAGGTAGATGAGGAAATGCTGCACTTTTTTTTTTTTTTTTTTTTTTTTTGCTGACTCTCAGGCTTTGATGTGAGAAGGCAACACTGCTGAATAGGGCTAGGCTGAGCCAGGACATAACAAGGTAAATCAGTTTCTAGGGAAGATGTTCCATGGCAGGGGCTCTACCCGAGGGTCTGGCGGCTCTGCAGCACTGAGGGCCTGGGCTGGACCCCATGTCTGGGGGGATTCTGGAGCCCCACGACTGTGTGACCTCAGTGGGAGCCTGCAGCAGTGCCTGTCCTCTGCTGCTGTCCTCCCTGGGATGAGTGATGATGCAGCGAGATCTTGCCTGCCTGGCATCCTGGGATTGGGTGGAGAGCTGCTCAAAGTCAGGGCAAGGTTCTTCATTCAGGCACTCACTGCAGATTTCCAGGTGTAAACTCACAGCAAGGTGCCCTTGTCTGTGTTGCAAAAACCCCACAGTTTTGGTTGAGCTTTTTTTTTGTGAGCAGCTGGCAAGGGCTCCTGGCCACTGCTGCTGTGCCTGGTGCCAGCAGGTGCTCGTGTCCCAGGAGCCAGGGGTCGGTCCCAGTTGTGTGGGGGATGGAGAGGAGCCCCCCCAGAGGGAGGACGAGCAGCCTGTGCCCCACTCCCACGGCTCTGTGGACAGGGATAAACCCAGGCAGGGTAGGAAGGAAAGTGATATGGAAGCACAGTCCCCTCTGAGAACTTATGAGGCCAGGCATGGAATATTAAACAAATGAAAAAGGAAGCAGCTGGCAAGGTGATGCCCATCAAGGATAAAAAATGATGAGTCCAAAAATAGAGGCTGTTAATTTACAGGAGAGTCATTGCTGACCTTCTCAAGGATGAGGCATCTGACAGGCAGAACTTGTTGCTGCAGGAGTTTGGTGCCTCCTTAGGCCAGGTTTGAGCTGTGGAATTAAGCACGGGCATACAGGTAACCTGGGATGCTCCCATCTCGTTTGCACGTCTTGACAGGGGTAGAGCCAACCATAAGTCGTGGAGCATTTCACCATGTCAGGAAGTATGTTGGTATCTCCCCTCCCCACCTGTGATTTATCTAAATGCACTGTGCTGGTTTAGAGCCTGTCTGGGAAATGAACAGGATGGACAAAATGAGGAGGTGGGATGCATTAGGGGTTTTTCATTAGGCTTTGTCTTGAGAGAGCATGAGAGGAGTGTGCACTCAGTCAGGGTCTGGATGGGAACACTGCAAGGGTCCAGGCAGCCTTGGCTCTGTGCTGAACAGGACTTTTCAATCAGAATTTCAGTATGTCCGTGGGGTTTACAAAATAGAGGATATTATTTTGAAGGTGCTTTAGGACTGTGATCAGAGACGCTTTAAAGAGAAAGACCTCACCTGCCCTTGCTGTGTTGGGAGCTCACCAGTGCCCATGCTTTTCCCCCAGAGTGAGGGGGAAAAATCCCCATTTTCTCCCCTCTTGGAAGGAGCCAGTAGCCCTTGGCAGGTGGGATTTGCCTCCCTGAGAACTGGCAACAGGTCCCCTGAGCAGAGTGCCAGGAGGGGCTGGGGTGATCTCAGTCTCTGTTCGGAAACCCTGCAGTCGGCCCTGCCATAACTGCATTAAGGTATTTCCTTAATTAGATTTACTAAGTATGCAGGATTCTAATTCTCTCTTCTCCTTCTCTCTTAATTTGCCTAATGAGAAAAACAAAGAAATGAAATTACGAAAGTGATGCCCACGTTTCCTTCTGGAGAGGCTGGTGTCCAGCTCCGGAGGATGCTCTGGCCCATCCTGGGCTCTGGTGCTGTGGCCAGGGGGCATTAGGGGCACTGGGGGCATTAGGGGCAGGCAGAGCCCCCTGGTACCTGCCAGGTGCCCCCTTAGGGAGCGAACACAGAGCTGGGACCTTTGGTTACGTTGTCAGTGCTGGAGCTGCGTGTGTCCTGTGGTGCCAGCGAGAGGTGAGTGCCTGCGGAGCTGCCCGGTGTCCCCAGAGCCCGTCGTGGCTGGAGTGGGCACCTGCCACCTCTGCTGTGCCTTTGCAGAGAGCCTCGGTGTCCGCTGGGGACTGGGTCACCGTGGGGCTGCTGTGAGCCCCCGATGGCCCCGGGGATCCCCGAGGGCTGCACAAAGACACACTAATCGTCCTCCCGATTCATTTATCACCCCCTGGGGGCAATCGGTTTGGGAAATGGGCCGGCCCTTGGCCCCAGCTGATGGCGGGCTGAATCATCGGCGTCTGTGCTTGGACTTTAACACAACAGATTCACAGCAGAGGCCGTTCCAAGCAGTGCTGGGGATGGGCTTGTTTTGCTCTCCCGGAACTGCAGGAGCAGTTCCAGCAGTTTGGCCCCAAAGAAGCAGCCAGCATGTGACAGAGGAACATGTTGTTAAGTTGGGTGATTTTATAATACTTAGAATATGATGCTATGGCAACCCACTACAAATCCCAGATCAAATCAAATTATTTGTGCGCATCCCTGTAACTTTAATCTTTTCGAAGTCGTGTCTGTTCTGTGCCTTTGAGGCCACTGTGCAGCTGAGTGCAATCAGGCACAGCTCAGGGTTCAAAGCAAGGAGAGCAGGGGATGAGTGCTTTGCTCCAGATCAGGCTGTGCTTTAGTGTCCTAGAAAGTCAAAGAGCAAACAAGGAAAATCTGTCATCCTCGGCATTTTTCAGCAGTGGAGACATGGTGAGCTTGTGGAGAGCAGAAAGGGAAGGAGCTTGATAAACAGAATGGGTGGGCAGGACAGGAATTCTGCTATTGCCCCACGTTGCTCCAATTAATTTCTTGCATTGAAAAACTGGAAGATGCCAGGAGCTCAAATGAGGTGTAACAATGTAAATGTAACCTGCTCTGATATCAAAAAGAGAGAAGGAAGGTTTATTTTGGTTTAATGTCATGTGAAACATCAGTCCTTGTTCTGGAGTCACGTTTGGACACAATGCCGTGGCTATTTCCCCCCGTGCCCCTGGCCAAGCCCATGTTGCTGGCACAGCCCGGGTGGTGCCGTGACTCCCCTGGCTGGGAGGAGGATGATGAGTGAGGAGGATGATGAGTGAGGAGGATGATGAGTGAGGAGGATGATGCTGCTGGTCCCACTTTGCCTTCCCAGCATCTCTGCTGCCTCCTCCCGCCTTCCCACTTCATCCCCTCAGCATCCCCACGGCGCAGGGCCCTGCTGAGGAGGGGCTGCAGGCACCCCGACACCGGCAGGTGATTGTCACCTGCTGTCACCAACACCGGGACTTGGCAGGAGGGGATGGGAGGGCAGGGCCTGCGGTGGGGCTGGTGGCGAGGGCGGGTGTCGGCACAGCTCGGGGTGTCAGGGCAGGTGTCGGCACAGCTCGGGGTGGTCAGGGCAGGTGTCGGCACAGCTCGGGGTGCCCCCCTGGCAGAGCTGTGTGCCCTGGAGAGGCCCCGGCAGGGATCGGTGCCGGTGCCGTGCGCGCTGTGCTGAGCGGAGCCATCCCGGGGCGCGCTGCCATGGGAACCAAACCTCGTTACGGAGAGATAAACAGTTGGACATTTTGGCCCGGTTTCTGCAGGACTAACCTGGCAGGGACAAGAGGAAACTAAATTAAATCTCAGATTTTCTGACTCCCGGAGGAGCATCTGGCAGTGCTGCTGCGTGATGGCGTGGCTGCCTGCCCGGGAGCCGCCGGGCCAGAGGGATGGGGATTTGTTCTGGGGAGGGCTGAGGCCGTACTTGTCCAAGGCTTGGGGACTTTTGGGGGGGGCTGTCTTGACAGCTCCGTGGCACAGGAGTTGCTCTCTGCTTTCCTGGGGTCCTGCGTCTTCATGATGGCTCTTGGTACTTCCAGATGGGGTGCGAGGTGCTGTGTTGGCAAAGGGGCTCTCAGCTGGGTCCCTCCAAAGACGCGCTGGGGTGTCCCGGGGTGTCCCTGGGTGTCCCTGAGCCTCCTTTGGGGCCAGAAGGCTGCTGAGCCGCGGGTCCTGCCCTGGTGGGGATGGGCTGTCATAGAAACCCAGCAGCCCACCCTGGGCACGGGCTCTTCTGATGGCTTCTATCACCTTCTCACACTGCCCGCTGGGCTTTTTCTCAGATTCCAGATGTTTCTGTGCAGGCAGCTGCCCACCAGGCTTTGCCAAGGGAGATAAAGGTTATCTCCTGTTATCTCCTGCCTCGTGTGCTGGCTCAGGCCGGGGGGAGCTGACATGCCCGTGTTTGGTTTTCCAGGAAACAGGAGCTGCTGAACAGCGCGGATGTGACGGTCCCGGACCGGCCGCTGTCCCCGCCGCTCACGGCCCCACCGACCATGAAGGTGAGAGCGCTGGGCCGGGCCCAGGCGCTGGCTTTGGAAAGCCAGGCTTGGTGGGAGCAGCGCTTCCAACGCAGCGGCTGCACGGCCCGGGGCTGCTGGTGCAGGAGCAGCAGTGGGAGGTGTCTGGAGCTGAGCCCGTTCCTCCATCCCCCTCTCCGCCGGTGCCATCCCCGTTACACAACGCGAGCGGCGCTGCCCAGCCGGGCTGAGTCCCGGGGCTGCTTTTCCTTCCAGCAGTGTCCCCGCACCGGGCTGGGCGGCTCGGTGCCAGCATGGGGCACACACGGAATGTCCTGTGTCCCCGCCACGGGCCGCCCATCCCGCCTGGGGCTCCACATGTCGAGCTGTGCACCCCAGCGGGCACCTGCCCTGCGAAGCCTCACCTGTCCTGCCCAACCTGTTCCGGGCGCTGTGCCTGCCAGAGGAGCCACCCTCTGAAATAACAAGACACCTGTCCTGCCGTACCTGTCCTGCTGTACCTGTACTACTGTACCTGTCCTGCCGTGCATGTCCTGCCGTACCTGTCCTGCCGTGCCTGTCCTGCTGTACGTGTCCTGCTGTGCTTGTCGGGCTGTACTTGTCCTGGTCTGCTTGTCCTGCCGTACCTGTCCTGCTGTACCTGTCGGGCTGTCCCTGTCCTGGTCTGCTTGTCCCGCTGTCCCTGTCGGGCTGTCCCTGCGGCTTGAGGAAACATTACCGAAGGCAGGTGCGGGGCTGGGCAGGGCGCTGGGGCTGGCGCTCAGCCGCCCTTGCTGGGTGCCCGTGAGGAGCTCTGGCTGCGTGGCTGATGCAGGTGGGGGCTGATGCCAGGAAGGCAATAGATTTCTTCCAGGGCTTGCTGGTGAATGCTCCCACACGTGGGGGAGAGTGCAGGGGAGACGTGCTGGCACAGCGCCTGTTGCTGCCCTCCGTTCGTGGCAGCTCCCACTGGTGCAGGGTTTTCTTTCTGGTCCTTTCCTTTGCGGCCCAGGAAAGCTGGGTCTAAGTGTGCACAGCTCTCTGAAGGGCACACACTGCTGCATGCTTTGCTCACCACGTGGGGCATTTCTGTGGGACTCGCTGGAGTCCGGGGCCACCGTGGGGTCAGCTCTGGCTGCTGGTAGAGCAGGACCTGAAACTATCCAAGAACATTTGTACCTAGAGATAAACCAAGCTCAAACTAAGGAAAATACTTTTTAAAGAGCATCTAGCTGTGGGCACAGAGCTGTCTGAGCACGGGGTTTTTCTTTTTGAGTCCTGCCAGGGGTGGTAGGTGAGGACAGGCATGGTCTAAAGCTGGAAACAGCCAGGGCTGTGTCCAAGCCACAGGTGCCCCACCTGTGCTGGCAGCCGCAGGCTGCTTGTGCTGTAAATCCGACCTTTGCTCACCACAAATATTAAAGGAAAAAATCTCTCCCAAACTTTTCTTTTCCTTTGATTTTCATTACTTCACCCCCTCCTGTGTTTTATCCTCTATTTCTTGTCTTTTGAGAAATTCAGTCTGTCCTAAGAGTTCACTAAACATCGTCTCTCGTGCCTTTCCCCTTGTTCCATGAGCCTTTTTTTTTGCCCCAAATCACGCCTGTCTCTCCCGCGAGCCGTTCCTGAGAGCCAGGACGGGATGGATGGAGGACGGGATGGATGGAGGACGGGATGGATGGAGGATGGGATGGATGGAGGACGGGATGGATGGAGGATGGGAGTTGCTGACCCCGCTTTTCCCTCTCCCCTCGGTCGGGAGCGGAGCCAGGCTGGGTGGAACGAGGGCTGAGAGAAGGGACGGGGCGGGTGCGCCACGCCTCCAGAAAAGCCACTTAGGGTTCACTGGGAGTGCCGCATTTACAGCCCTGGTTTGGCTGGGAAATTTATTGGTGTGTACCTGGCGGCAGGAAGAGCTGGGAGAGGGATCGGGACTTTCCAGCGAGCCCCCCTTGTGCGGCGCTGCACTAGAGGGGTGCTGCTCCTCAGAGCAGCTCCAGGGAGCCCAGGAACGGTCCCCGCTGGGCAGCACAGGTAGATCAGGGTGGGAACAGGGTTACCTGAGGCTCCCGTGGCCGAGGGAGAGCCCGTCAGCCTGGTCGTGGCAGCTCTCCTGGATGGTGGGCTGTGCCTGCTCTGGTGGGTCCTTCTCCCTGAGCCCCTCTCCCCGGGTGCAGGGAACACTCACCCCGTGTTTGGAGGCTGCAGCTCCTGTGCCCAGCCCCTGGCTCTGGAGCCAGGCAGCAGAAGCAGGGTTTCTAATTGGAGCAGCTGAATAATCTCTTTAGTTCCTTCGGCACGTGGGGATTAACCCTGCACTGGGCAGCCCAGCACCGCTGGCAGCACCTTCACCAATGCTGCTGAGATTAAAAAAATAAATGATTCAAGACTCCTGATCAAACTATGCACAAAGCTCAGCGTTTGTGGGAGTCAAGGGAACCTGCAGCAATGATGCTGAGCTCCAAGCTGGGCTGGATGGGAGCTCCTGGTGCCACATTCAGGAGCAGGACAAGAGCTCGGGGCAGGGGTCCTGTATCCCTGCTGTGATGTGGCTTGGACTGGTTTGCCTTGTGTCTGCTTTTATCCAAAAGTAGATTTCCTTCTTTTCTTTTCAGTCAGCAGAATTCTTCGAAATGCTGGAAAAAATGCAGGTGAGCAGCATGTGCATGCCAGTAACTCGGGATGTTTGCCCCAGCAGAGCCCCTGAGGGCCCAGAGCAGAGGCCCCAGCAGTTCTGGGAGCCTGTCCCAGGAGCAGACCCCCCTCCCAGCCACTTGGGCTGGAGTCATCTCCGTGTAGCAAAATACCCTCGTGTTGGTGGACCAACCCCCTGTGTTGGGAAAAGCATCTGCGTTATTTGATGCATTCATTTTGTTCCAAACAGGCACCAAAACTGGAAGAACAGAAGTCTGGAAGCCAAAAGCACAAGGTTGGTTGATTTTTATTTCTTGAGGAGATCTCTTCGAGTGTCCCCCCCTCCTCTCAGAGGTTTAATGTGATCGTCAGAGACAGTCACTCAAAGGGCTGGACAGGATTTAGATGTAATCTAAAAAGAAAGCACTGATTGAATGGCAGAGATGGGAGCGTGGTGCCTGTAAATCCCTAATCCAGCCTGATGTCCAGAGTGGTGCATTTCAGCTTCCAGCTGTGCAGGAGGGTTGGGGTTTGCCACCACAGGAACTCCCTCCAGGCAGGACTTTGCCTGCACTGACACCTCCCTGTGAGGGACCAGCAGGTGCTGGAGGCACTCCCTGGGTTGGGTGGCAGGGCTGGGGTTTTAAGGGACAGCTGCTGGGGAACAGATGGTCATAGATGGTGTTTTGGTTCCTTTTTCCAGGAAGACTACATCCCATACCCCAGCATCGATGAGGTGGGTGCCCTGAACCCCCTGAACTCCTTCTGGCGAATGCCTTTCCAAAATTGCTGATGGCAGAGGAATTGGTGGAGATTCTGAGAGGAGCTGCATAAAGCGTGTTCCCCCCTCCCTACCTTTGTGGCTTTTGGCTTTTCCTCAGGAACATGTGCCCTATTCTGTGACAGAGGTTTCAGAGAGGGGCTGCACTTGCCCCTCCTGGTGCCAGGGCTGGGGTCTGCTGCAGCAGGGAGGCAAAACACGGGGCAGGGACTCTGCACCCCATCCACACCCCTATCGTGCCTGAGCCCTCATGTCTCTGCAGATCCTGGAGAAGGGCAGCCCATACCCGCTGATCATCCTGCCCCAGTTTGGGGGGTACTGGATAGAAGACCCCGAAAACCTTGGCACGCCCACCTCATCTGACAGCAGCATCTGCGAGGAGGAGGAGGAAAACCTGAGCCCCAGCACCTATGGCTACAAGCTGGAGTGCAAGGGGGAGGCCAGAGCCTACCGCAAGCATTTCCTGGGCAAGGTGGGTTCCTCACGCACGGGCTCCAAGCTGCACACCTTCGGCTAAGAAAACTCTCCATTTGAAGTTTTACAATTCCCCTCTTTGCAAGGAATGGAGGCACTGGTGGGTTCCCAGCACGGCACTGGTGGCCACACATGGCCCTGGCCCCACAGCCACAGCAGTGGGGACATTGGCTCCGAGCCTCCTGTCCCCTCTATGGCAGCCCCTGCCCTCCTGCTCACAGCCCTGGTCCTGGCAGGGGGGTGTGAGTGCTGGGCGGGGGTTGGGGTAGCAGGTGAGTGTCCAGGCAGTGTCCTTGCCATGGGCGAGTTGCTTCCCGGCTGCTAACTTGCTGTTTTCTATTTTTAGGATCATTTAAATTTCTACTGTACAGCCAGCAGCCTCGGAAATCTGATCCTGTCTGTTAAGTGCGAGGAGACAGATGGCACAGAGTATTTAAGGGTTATACTCAGGTATGGGGAAAAAAAGCTTTGCTTAACAAAATATTCTGGTTTTGGGAGTCTCTGGTTCTGCTTCTACAGCAAGTGCTTGAGCTGGACTGGCAGCGTGTGGAGGGGGTCTGGCTGGGATGGGAGGCAGTGGCAGCATCCCTGGGACTGGGCTGGGACTGCCTAAACCTGATAATGAACGTGAGACTTTGATCTGTTGCTAAACCCGCTGGAACTGAATGTAAACCTCTGTGGGTTTAATCCTCCCTGGGATAACACCAGTCACATCCCTCCATAAGCTGACAGGACTCAGCATGTCTGAACCATTGTGTCATTTCCCTCCAAACTATGAATATTTTAAGGGCTGCAGAGATGAGCAGACGAATTGAGCCTTTGCTCACTAACCAGGCCCCACAAATGCAGCACCTCAGGGTTTCCCAGCAGTGGGTGTTGCTTTGCTGTAGGCACTCTGACATCTGTCTGCTCTTTGTTGTTTCTTTGCTAGGTCCAAAGTGAAGACACTGCACGAAAGGATTCCACTGGCAGGATTCAGCAAACTCCCCAGTATCCCCCAGATTGCAAAGGTGAATTGTCTGGCTTGGCTGGAACATGTGAGGCAAAACCTCTGCCAGCACTGGG